TATCACCCTTGCTTTGTTTGTTCTTCGACCTTGCCCTTTCAGTATTTTTGGCCTGCTGGTTTGACCCTGTTTCTGTTTTTGGACATTGCACATTGACACTTTGTAATTGCTAAATAAAACTAAGTTATTCGGGATTCCTCCTCCTCAAGCAGAATGTCAAAAGCAAACTAATGATGTTCCACAACTGGGCCAGTGAGCGAGTATCCTCATTCCGAAAAGCCTACATATAGCCTATCCATGGTGAGGTAGCTCAGGAATGCTACAAAAGCAACCTGGGCTTCATCAGGAGAATGACACACCATGATGGGCTAAACAGAAAACACTCACCCACAACGCAGTGCTCCAACAAATTTCCTAGTAGGACCAGTAGTGGGAAGACTGGCTCTGGGGTAGACCCTTCTAGCATCTTTCTTTGTGCAAGAGGCCTTCTGCAAAAATTGAGAAAGAAGCTAAATTCAGTAACACAAACAAACTATTAACCTAAAATATATGTAATGAAATCTTCATACTTTGCATATACTGTTAATGCCTCGTTACAGGGTTATACACAGCTATGCTTGTTTCATACCTGACTGTCGAGCTGTTTAACTTCGATACATTAGTATTCTCACACCAAAATTATTAAATTTACAGTGTTAAGAGACTCAATTGACATAGTTAACTCAGCAAGCAAAGCCACAGCTTTAGTCTAGTTAAAACTGGTCAGTGAGTGCACATACTTAAGCAAAATTAATGATGGATTTGTACTCTGAGTATTTTCAAACTGTAATACTCAGTTCTACTCAAGTCTATTAGTGAGTAAAGGAATCTACTTTTTAATTCAGTTACATTTTAGTCATTCAAATGTAGTTACTAACTGCTTTTTGTTGAATTTCATCCCGTTTTGTTTTGACAACATCTGTACTACTTTGTGATTGGTTACATCTTTGACTTTGAGGCTTCAGCATTTCACTTTAGACCAAAATACTCAAGAGGAAAACAGCCACACAAACTACAGTTCCTGTAGTACTTTTTCAAGCTGTTTTATTTAATGGTACTTTAATGGTGTCATTATTTTATCCAGGTATCAATACTTTTACTTGAGTATTGATTTAGGCTACTCTACCCACCTCTAGTTCTGTGTTATGCATAAATTATTGACAAAATAAACTGACTCCGCATAACCTAACACACCCAAGCAAACAAAGCAAAATACATTTTTGGAGGGTGCTGTATCGTTTAAAATACGACTAATGTATTTCAGATACTTTTGATTTACAACCACATCCTTTTTGAAGCAGACTTTACTGCCCTCTAGTGACATCCTGGTGTAACTCATTCCTTTAATATGTTTTAACAATGTTTTTCAGATGTCTTAAACCTTTTGATCAATTTGGTTAACAGTTCACACTAATGAGGAAAATTAGCACAAAATGCTGCAAATGAACAATCATAGAAGCAATATACCTGCTAGGATAGAAGGGATAGATAAGGTACACGATATTTACAATACTGTTTTTAACTCACTGATTTTATGTAAATATCTGTCTAAACATTGTATCTTGAGATGGTAAAAAAAAAGAGCACAAAACAGCAGAACACTGGCCACTCCACTGACTCAAACTTCAACCTACTGTATTACAGAAATAAGCACTAAGCATTAGCTAATGCTTGGTGGCTTCCTTTACTGACCACAATGATTAAGCAATTCTAGATTATGCAAACAGTATCTATGGAGAAGCAGTGTGTTTGTGTGTCCATCTTCTGTGAGAGATGAGTAGTAACTAGTTATATTCACTGAGGTACATGTGCATGACTTGTGTTAAACACTGAAAAAAAAAGATTTTTTCCACATATGTGAAATTACAATAAAAGTTGTTTGATTGTGTGTGTGTGTGTGTTGTGAGGGGGTGCACATGGACGTGAATTGTGGCTGAGCGTTTCGCCAGTTTGCACGCTTTGCACTTTCACTCTCAAACAGCATCATTTTATACTTGCTGCAGCTCTGACATCTAAGCTACAAAGGAGACTTGAGCTTTGACAGCATTAGAAACAACTACAGAGACCAGAAAAAGACTTTTATTGCCATTGCAGCAGGAGTCAAAACTCCAACAGCAAATTAAGTGATTCATAGAAAATTTCAGTCAATTTCGGTTACTTTCTGTAATTTAGTGCGTATAAAGTTCCAGAAGATAAAAGATAAATTACACATGCTTCTTCAGAAAATCTGAACCATTCAAATGATAGTATCACTGTCAAGTGAAAATAAAATTCTAAATTACAACACAAAGCCTCATGCTGTACTATTGCTTTTGCCTGTCACAGCGGATCAACATGCCATGCTAAATATGCACATGTGGAAAAGAGCACAGTTTTCCTGGCTGCTGTACGTCATTATTGTCAGACTATTCTGTTTCAATAGTATGGCTTTTCTCAAGCGTTGTGCTAGGATTGGGAGCCATTGAGCCAATGATCACCCTATTGTTCACCCTTGTGTACATCAGTACATTGATTTGTTCAATTAAGACTTTTCTGTGAATTTTCAAATGATAATGATGCAGTTATACTCAAGTATATTTGTGAAAAGTACTTTTTTGTACTTTTTTTACTCGGTTCTCAGTACTTTCACCCAGTCCCATTTAGCCATTTATTTTTAGTTTACAATTTGGTTACATGAATAATACAATACTTTATCCACCTCAGTTTCTTTATAAATTTGAAAGATGTCTCAGAGTTTTATAAAGATCTGAAAAGCTGCTTTGGGAAGAGAGCAGAGCTAGACGACATGGTGGTAGTTAGCTATGAGGCCATGACCCCAGCACAAAGAACACAAAGAAGTATGTGAGCACAAGAAACAACCTTGAAATTCACCACACATATTATTAGAATATATGAGATGTCATTTGTCTATTTGTAGCCTATAGGATTTTGTTACAAAGCATTTATAACACATTGCAATAGACTTTACATGAGCTGAGTGTAAATGGAGCTTATACTTAGGAGCGCAGTACAGCACCCAAAACCTACTACTGAGAGATGTTGAGTAACATGACTAGCATAATTTGCAGTCTCTTGTGCTACATATGGTCCCTAAAATCTGGAAACACTCAGTAATAGTTCCATTAAGGTCAAAAAATTGACATAAGAAAATTTTTAAAAAGTACATATCAATATTTCCAAAGGCTCCATTAAAAGCATTAAAAGTTTAACAACTTTGCGCATTAATACAGAATACAGAATTCAGCAGATGTGTGAGATCATATGTGATATGCTGTGTGTTGTGGGAAGAATTCACTAATAAAATTCCTGATTCTCTCCTGAATGTGTGACTTCTGAATGTGGTGTGAGTGCATGTGTGCTTTTTTGTAAGTACGCTGGTGTATTATGTCTGCCGCTTTACATCGTCTTTTTGTTTGTTTTATATCATTTGTGTGTATGTTTTGATGTTTTCCTACTGGCTAAGAAGTAGCCATTATATCCACTGAGATAGCAGTTTGGAGCGATTTTCCACCCGTGGCTCAGAGGTTTCTTGGGCTGGCTGTTTGGGTGATGCTACATCACAGCCATGATGAGTCAACAAGGCTTTCTGGAACAGAGACCTGACCAACGCTACATTGCAGCTATGTGGCTGCCTCCACGGATGACGCTGCACTACCGCTACATTGCTACATTGCAACTATACTATCACTTGGGTGACACTGCACGTGCACTATAAGGCCTGGACTGTTGGTGTTCAGCTGCAGGAAAATGCTACCCCTTCATGGCTAAGGACATTTTCGTACTTTGAGGCAAAGCCCCCACCAGCTGTGGGAACCGAAGTTTAATGTTGATTATGTATTTTGATACTTCAAGCATCCTTGAACATAGGAAAGAAGAATTGTCCAGGCTACGGTCTTTTTTGTTTTTCTTTATGGATGTGAAACCTGGACAATAAAAAGCAAGACAAGAAAAAATATTGTTGCCTTTGAACTTTCAGATACCAAGTGCACATTGCATGACTTTCAAAGATTGGCTACACTAGGGTGACCATTTTTTGTTTTTCAAAAACAAGGACACTGGGGGCAGGAGAGCGGCACTGGCTAGACAGTAGACAGCAAATGTCAAGATGAAAGCAAAGCCAAATGTGAGGAAATTAATTTTTTTTGTCCCAAAAAGAGGACATACTCTGGAAAAAGAAGATGTATAGTGAACATAGCTATACTGCTTATGTTAGACAATGTTTATCACTTGTGACCACCTGTTTGTTGATGCAGTGGTGCAGACACTACACAAGTGACTGCAGACAAGGCTCATACACAACCTTTCACCTAAAATAATCCATCACAAAGCACATCTGTTTACAGAATCCCACTGACTCACTAATGTGCCAAACTAGACAGAAGCTGCCAACGGCTGCTGCTCAGTGCTGCTCTTGCTACTTGTTATAGAGGTGCTCACACTACAAGATGTTTGAAAATATTGGGGCATCTGCAACAGCTCGCTGACTGGGCAAATGTCATTGCTTAACCTATCAGATTACATGAGAGTTGTCATAGGCACGTTGTAGCGGTTTGACGCCGAGCTGGGAGTCTGTTGGAGATCTAAAATATTTGTCTGCGACTGGAAAATCAGGGCTAAAATCATGTAGTGTGCACTCAGCTTAAGAGCATAATGGACAGTGCTGTGTACTTTTCCTTTTCCTTCTTTAGTTTTAACTATTGTCTGTCTATTCTATTTACATTTCCCTTGTTTCAAGATGCAGAGTGTCCCAACGATGGATTACATGGCTAGCAGATGTCCACCTCACTTTGGTGTTTCCTGACAGAGGGCTTTTTTGTCCTTACTAGTTGCACAAAAAGCTACTCATATGGGTTTATGACAGAGTGTCGACTGTTCTTTGTACAGGCCCAAACAGCCACTTGAATGTGTGTTAATCTGACATAACCCAGAGAAAAGACAACATTCCGGTGAAACAATATGCATACGGTCGGCAGCAGGTGGAATCGACTTGATGGCACAAATTAATAATAAATATAATATCTTGAGAAGGTTTAACCACTCATGCCTCAAACACAGGGTTCTAGTTCGTCCAAAGTATGTGCTAATGCTTGGTGACTTCCGTTGCTGACAACATCACAATGATTACGCTGCTACCAGACAGTAGATTACACAAGTGAAGACGTGCAGTGTCCTTACAGACAGAAAGAGACGAAGTCTATGCATGGGAGTCTTCTATCAGAGGTGGGTAGCAGCAGTTACATGTACATAAAATCATTTTCATATGATTATATTTTATATTCCAGATTTCTCTTGACTAAAGGAATCTACATTTTACTGTGTTCCATTTCACCATGTACATTATAGGCGATTATAGGCATCATTACTATAGTGTTATTTCAGTATGGCTTTGTTTACTCTACTCACCTCTGTATTCTCTAGATTAGAGAGATGTCTCAGGATCTTTACGAAAATTTCAACTACACTGAAGAGCCAAGCAGAGGAGAGCGAGTGGAAGTGGTGGTGGATATCTATGAAAGTGCGGATACTGTAAGAAATCACAATGCCAACACAGAAAGGGATGATGGCAGCACAAAAAGGAAACAACAAACTCACCACACAGGTATTGTTGCACTTAAAGACGCACCAATACTGATATTGGTATCGGGTATTGGGCTGATATCGTGCTCATTTGCTCATACTCATAAAAATTCACCAATACCAACACTCTGATACCCGCTGATACTATGTGATGTAAGCCTACAGTGTTGCGCTACTGAACAAATGACTCAAGCTGGCAGTGAAGGAAGCTTTGCTCACACAGAGAAGTGTTACTGACTCCAAGACAGTCTGACTCAAAGTCACTGGTCACTTTAAACATTCTCTGGGCAATTTCAGCCGTTTTTAAACAATCATGACCGCTTCACCAATACAGGTCCAGACAATTAGACCCGCTAAACAGATTTTTTTATTACAATTTTTTTGTAATAACTGTTTTTGTAAAATAGGCTCTAAAGAGACTGTATTGTCCTATTATCAGTGAATTAGCCTCAGATGTGATCCCTGCTGTCACTGTCACAGAGAGTTGTTGAAAGACATAGATGAGGAGCATCGAAACTATGACCTCCCAAAAACCCAAAGGCCAGCAGATCTGGGGGAAAAAAAGATAAGGTCAGTTTTTATCCCACTTAAAAATGTGCTTCACTTAGAGCTGCGCAGAAGTGCTGTTCTGACGCAGAATAAAATCCGCTCTTCTCCACTGTAGCACTACATGATCAAAGGTAACTAATGTAGCAAAGCTAGCCAATGCACACCATTTAGAATCTGCTAGATTTTAATGATTTAACTATAAATCGTTATGGTATTGGACTCGGTATTGGCTGAAAACAGTAATGGAAAACATGTACTTGGTCTGAAAAAACGGCATTGTTGCATCCCTAATTTAAAAAAATATATGTTTTAAAATCAAAATACTTGGTTTTGCTCACATCTAAGGTTTTCCAAAAAAATGCAAAAAAGACCATTTAAAAATACATGTGGAAGTGGAAAAAGAACTGAAAGGTAAATTGGGGAATGTTGTACTTCCTAACTGTCATTTAGATTTACATTTAGTCATCCACCGTGAAGCAAACAGACAAAGCCACAAAAAGTACTAGAAGATACTGTGAAAATCTACAACATAAGAGTTATGCTATATACAGGTCTAGCCACTGAGGAGCTGAGCACATTAAATGAGTAATTCTTTTCACACAAATACAAAAAACAATAAAACAATGTTTTTGCAGAGGATTAAATAGAAATTACAATAATTGTAAAAGGAACTGTGAATAAGTGGAAAAAGATGTTAAGCATTGCTTTAAGATGCGAGTCTTCAAACCACAGCAGAATGAACTGAGTTCCTGTGCAGTGGGGAAAAAGCACTAAAGCAGCGAGATCTAGCCTCAGTGGAGTGGTCAAGTCTGACGATGAGCAGTGTTTGAATGAGAAATTGAGTGGGTTATGTATTCAGGAACGTTTATAGTATAATGATTGTTGGAAGGAGAAATCTGCAGGATCTTGTGGAAGATGTTATGTGATCAGAAAAATGAAACTGTTCCAGGTTTTTAAGCTTGTTAAATTGTCGGATTTCTGTTCAAAGTAAGTCACAAAGTCCTCTGCAGTAAGACGAGATGTTGGAGAAAGATTCGAGTAGAGAGGGTGGAGGACTATTTTCATCGGTAGGAAATGTAGCTGTTTATCTTGAAGTGAAAAAAACATCTTCGATGCTGTGTCTGCAGAGAATTTGAGCAGGTCATAGTACTTGGCCAAATCTGTTGGAGCTGGATTTCCTATGCTTATTCTCAGCTCTACACAGCAATCTTGTGTCAGATTTGAGAGTGTCAGAGAGCTATGGACCAGAAAACAATGATCATGATGCTTTGGAGGTGTTTATGAAAGGAACCTTACCTCTTTGCTTTCTTCCCCACTGGCACTAGAGTCTGCACTAACAGTTTTAATCACCTTCTTGTTGCCTGTAACAGCACCACTATGAAAAATAACCAAGTCATAGAAAGAGCTAGCCAGGCTAAAGTATGGCCTCCCCAGAGCAGGGTTAGTTCTACTACAACGTTACAACTAAGCCACCCAAAGCAAACAATGAGAGAAGCTCATATCCTATCCCAAAAACTTAAAAATAGTTAACCCTCTATTGCACAGGTGTCAAGCACCAGTCCTTGCGGGCCAAAGCACTACATACTTCAGCACGCTGCCTCATTAAACACACCTGATTTAGCTCATCAGCTAATTAGCAAGGCTTTCACGAACTGAATTCAGAATGTTAGGTGAAGGTAAATGTTAATTTCTATGGCACTCTGACCTGGAAGGTCCCCAGTTTGACATGCCTGCTCTATTGAGTGGTGTTGCCATATGGCAAAAATGATGATCTCAATTTTAATAAAAGACAGTAATATAAAATCTATGTTTTACTGTTTGATTGTTAACATGTTTAAGTAATAATTCATGCAAAAAAGGGTTAATTTTGTTGACCTTTTTTCTTCACAGATTAATTTTAGTTTATATAAATAAAATGTATGTATCCTGCTGATTTTGATATTTTACTTTGTGCTCAAAAAATATACAGACAGTCTCTAATAAGTAGTCATATTTATTGATGTGTGTATTTTTATTTGGTTAGTAAAGCTCATTTGATTCAAACGCTACAAAATTCTCTTGAATTAAACGTGTTTGCAGATTTTCTATCAAATGTTACAATTATCTCCTTTGTCTGCTACCATTAACCACAGCTATGGGTTAAGCTGCAACATTTCTACTAACAAATGTTCCAAAACAGTCAGGGTTCAAAACAAAGATTATCCTTATTTTAGATGGGCCAACTGTTTCTATGAAAATAATAATCTTGCTGAAATCCAACCCCATTTCCAAAAAAGGTTTGCAAAGACGCTGTGCAAAATGTAAATAAAAACAAAATGCAACGATGTCCAAATCATTTAAACCCATGTAGTTCATTAAAAATACTACAAAGACAACAAATTAAATGTTTAAACTGAGAAATTTTTATTGTTTTTTGAAAAATATATTCCCATTTTGAATTTGATGCCAACAACATGTTCCAAAATAGTTGGGACGGGGGCATGTTTATCGCTGTGTTTCATCACCTCTTTTAACAACAGTCTGTAAGCATTTGGGAACTGAGGAGAGCAATTACTGTAGTTCTGAAAGTTAAATGTTTTCCCATTCTTGCTTGATATACGATTTCAGCGGCTCATCAGTTCGGGGTCTCCTTTGTCGTATTTTTCACTTTATAATGTGTCAAATGTTTTCAGTGGTGACCCACACTCTTTTAATACAGAGCCATGCTGTTGTAATAGATGCAGAATGTGGTTTGGCATTCCCTGAAAAAAGACGTCGTCTGGACGGCAGCTTATGTTGCCAAAACGTATATATCGTTCAGCATTAATGGTGCCTTCACAGATGTGCCAGTCACCCATGCCATGTGCACTAACGCACCTCTATATCATCATGAATACTGGCTGGCACTGATAACAAGCTGAGTGATCTTTATCCCGGAGGACACAGTGTCCATGATGTCCAAAACAAATTTAAATGTTGATTCGTCAGACCACAGGAGACTTTTCTGCTTCACCTCAGTCATTTTAAATGAGCACAGGCCCAGATAAGGTGGATCCAGTCTATGTTTTCATAGATAATGGTTTTCAGAAGTGTTACTGAGCCCATGCAGTGATTTCCACTACAGAATTATGTCTGTTTTTAATGCAGTGCCGCCTGAGGGCCCAAAAATCATGGCCAGCAAATACTGTTTTTTGGCCTTGTCTCTTGCATACAGAGGTTTCTCCAGATTCTCTGAATCTGTTACTGTTATTATGTACCGTAGACGATGAAAAGCAGTCTTTCACAGAGTGGTGAACGCCTCCGCATCTTTACTTCTGAAAGACTCAGCCTCTCTGGGTTGCTTTTTTATACTAGCTCATGTTACTGACCTGTTGCCAATTAACCACCAGGGTTGTATTTTTTAAATTAGCGAGTTTAAAAACAAAATGTGGTAGGCAGTGCTCTGGTATCCCCTACTACAACTGTACTGTGTTCATGTGTATTGCATAAAACGTATCATCACTAAATTTACACAAGCTAAGGTTGCGACAGAAGCCACTGCGACAGGAAGTGAGAAGAAACGTCAATATCAGGCACTGTTTGAAGTCAAAGAGTAAAGATTTAACAGCTGTTTGCTCATTTCTCATCTATTATTACAGCAGATTTAGGAGCCCTACTTACTTTAAAAAGTATCACATTTATTCATATATATGAATTTGATGTGCATCCTCCACCATCTCAACAAATTCTGAAACTTTCAATTCATTCGGCCACCAACTGAAGCATTCCTGGTATACGGAGCAGATCAAGAACATTCCCAAATATTTTAACTGTGAAAAACAGTAAACAAGTGGGTGATTTTTTTCAGAACAAAACCTTTGTGTTACGTCTCCTGGAGATGTTCTGCTCTGCACAGTTTAAATCTGCACAGTAAAAAAGAGTAAAGTGTCTGTATTCATTCCCTACTAACAGGAGACACTGCAGGGAGTAGACGCTACAGATTGACTGCAGTGTGTCTGGGGCTGCTGTGTGTTCTCCTGCTGACTGCCATCATAGTGCTGTGGATCAAGTTCAACAACCTGACTATACAGAGAGACCAGTTACAGACCAGTAACACCAACCTGACTAAAGCGAGTGAGCACTTCCAGAAAGAAAGAGATAAACTTCAGGAGAGGCTTTGTGAACTGAGTAAGTAAATATTCATCAACTGTTACATATCACTACCAGAGTTTGATTTAATTATTCCATTTGTTTAGTTTAAAGCACAGGAATATTTTTTTATTTACCTCCTAGAGTAAAAGATTTTAATAATCATGCTGCCACTCGAAAGCTCTTAAAAAGTCATCAGTAATGTGTAGGTCACACTAACCACATTTATATGCAAACAACAGACTACATTGCAAGTCAAACAGGGGTGCGCATTCCAACTAATTTTAAAATGTGAGTCTCCCTGATGGACAATTAACAGATAAACAGTTGACCATGTAGAAGAAAAAATAAACAAACAAAAATAGTGACATTCAAGCTAATGTGGAAAAACTACAGCTAACTGGCACAACATTGGATATTAATGAGGTCTCGATTTCATCTTACAGGTGGAAATGTGCCAACATGTTAGTTAATTAGAGAAATATGTTTTCACTGTTTTCACTGTTTCTGTGTTTCTCAACCCTGGTCTTAGAGGCCCACTGCCCTGCGTATGTTAGTGTTTTACCTGCTTTAACATGCTCACTTTAACTCAATAAAGGGTAATGAGCTGATTTGTTGGATCAGGTCTGTAGGGATCAAGGAAAACTCTAAAACATGCAGAGCAGTGGGACTTCAGGACCAGGACTGGGAAACACTAAGCTAGTGCTTCTAGTTAGCCTACTCAGCACTAAAGCCGCACCAGAGCTGTCTGTGCTCTCTCTGTCTTCTCTGCCATGCCCTTAATATCACATCCTTGGCAACATGGTAATGCTAAGGCACAGTGTATTTCATAGCAGCAAAGTGCAATGCAACACATTAATTTACATGCAAATACTTATTTGGCCAATAACAGCCTAGACCACATGTTTTAGTCACACTAAACTAAGACTGACTAAGACTTTTGGGGTTAATGTCAATCGAACTGAGCTGTTTACATAATCACAGCTTAGTTTTAGACTAATATTGAACATTTGGGGTGCATATAAATGTTATTAATGACTAACTACTAGTAAAGCAGTAGTTTAGGGTCTATTTCACACCAGATGCTGTATATCTTTTCCTTGTGCCGCGAGCAGCATACTAGCAGTTCTAGGCAGTATTTTTGGTATCAAGTACAATCAAGGACAATAAACAAATCTATTCTTACCTCTTTGACAAGTTGATAAAAATCCCTTTATGTCTCTGTGTGTGAATGAGATACCTCCTTCTTCCTCCTCCTCAGCAACAGTTAAACCACATCTATAATCATTGCAGAAAAATATTAAAGTAATCATAGAGCTATACGTAACGTGGTGAGAAAGTTAGCAACAGAAAATTAGTATAAATGTCACTTATAGAAATACTAGGAATCAGTGACCTCCACAAACAAACCATTTCAAAACATGTGAAGAGGCAGAAAGCTCAATGGGCAGTGTGAATTTCATACTGACCACAAAGGTGAATGTAGAGCCAAAGGTTATTTATGTCTAAGATAGCACTGAGTAGAAATATATGGATGATTGCATTGATAATACAATAAGGAATACACTGAGTTTTTAAATATAATTGATAATGTTAAAGTGGTGTTAAATGTAAGAAAAAATGTTTTCTTTTTGTACTATTTTACCTTACACCTTTCTGATACACATGTATTTTAAAAAATATGTCTTAGATCAAAAGCTTATCTCAAAACTATTGTAGAATTATGTGACATCGCAGCACATTCATAACCATTTCCTGTCAGGCACAACCAACTTTCTGTGGTGGAGCTTTTAGGGGTCTTAGATGTCTGGTTCCTATCACCATCAGTATGAATAATTCTGACTTTGGAAGATTCTCTAAAATAAAGCATTTCACAGCAAACCGCTTTAACTTTATTTACCTCATAACTAAATGTTGCAGAAATTCTGAAGAATCATTTGAATTCCCCTTTAACTGAGCTGACCTATTAATGCATGACTTTCTCCATGAAAAGGGAAAAACACTGAGCAGGCACAGGGGTGTTTCAGAGGCAGTGTCTACTACATCTCTACTGAGAAGAAGAGCTGGAATGAGAGCAGAAAGGACTGCAACAGTAAAGGAGCAGACCTGGTGATCATAAACAGCAGAGAAGAACAGGTGAGAGAGAGAGAGAGAGAGAGAGACAGACAGACAGACAGACAGAGAGAGTGCTTCAACTGTATGTATTCACATACTTTCATACTGTACCATGTCAGGAGTTCATCAGTTCAGTATTGGGCAACACTGAAGCTTGGATTGGTCTGACGGACATCGACACAGAGGGGGTCTGGAAATGGGTAGACAGCTCATTACTGACCACTAAGTAAGAGACCACTAAAATTAACTCTGTTCATGATACAGTTATTCGCTCTCTAAGAAGGTCTAGAGGTGTGATAGTGAAGACAATCTGATTCTCTGTGTTTCAGGTTCTGGTTCGAGGGGGAACCAAATGATTTTAATAAAAATGAGGACTGTGCTGTAACTGGCTATAGAGATGCTGGATCTGAACGTGTATCAACCTGGGCTGATTTTCCCTGTAGTCACATTATAGTTGGACTCTGTGAGAAAAGTTTAATATAATTTTAATTTTATCTACATAACAGAGAACAGTTAAAACTGATTTTATATATATATACACACATACACACACACATATATCTAAAAAATATAATGTGTATAAAGCTGTGCAATAATCTGTGTAAACTGCATGTACATTTTATATGTTCCTCTCTGCATTATCAGTGTTTGTAATAGGACGTGTATTTAAATTTAGAGACAATGTAAAGCATTCTTTATTCTCCAGTTGTACTTCTGAAACACACACACACACACACACAGTCTGCAGCAGCTTAGACCTGCTTTCTACGCCATCTGTACTGTGCACATTTTTTAGCATTAACTGAATTAAATCTTTCACATATTAAACAATATAATATTCAGTCATTTTTGAAAACTATTTCATCTCTTTTTGTGACTGGCCTCGCATTACCATTTCGCACCAGCCGAATAGTCTTCAATGAGTGGGAGTGAATGAAGATCATCAGCATGTTTACAGCTAAGTCCTTTAATTTTGGAAAGTAGACAGACATAATCCATTTAAACATCCAATTAAACTTACCAATAACTTTCCAGTTTTCTACAATAAACAGGTTTTGGTCAGTAGCACACTAGCATTACTGCTACTGAGTGCTGATTGGCTGGCGAGCCAAACAGCTCAGTGGCTGAGTAAAGCAGTTCACACTCATTGACATCACAAATATATATACGGCACTGTTCAAACAGAACAACGGAGTTCAAAAGTGCTAAAAAACTTAACAGCTGTGTTAAAGTATTTTATGCTCTTCTGTTTTGAGAAAAGAAGAGCATTCATCTGTAAGAATTTACAAACTACTATTTTACAAAAGAGCTCCACAGGAACATTTTGGCCCTCTAGCGTTTGACAAACCTGAAAGACAAAGAGTGGCAATTCCCCTCACTAGAATTTCTCTGGTGTGGGTTCATAGCTCCCCACAGCCCAAAGGGATAAGCGGATTAGAAAATGTGTGTTTGAGTTCATAGCTGTTTTCTCTCTTTAAATGAAGCACACAAAAGCAACCTGCATGCTAATAGTCACACCTTGCAGAGAAACTTAGTAAACAAGTACGTTCCAAAGCCATGTTCACATACTTTACATAGTTTCTATCATTATAGCAGACTCTGGAACTCAGCTACAGATGTCTGTGGGAAATCTTGAAGTATTATATTTTCATAATTTTATAACCAATCTGAACCATCGGGACACTGAAGCTGTACAGAAAAAGCTGAGAGTTTTAGACAATATGTCTAAAGTAACCCCCCAGCAGAGACACTGGACAATTTACTCTAGCATTACTCTTACAACTTATTAATGCCCCTTATTTGTCAACTGTTTGAACAGTGAACAAAGGGTAATACAACATTACGTATATGTATTATTTAGCATCTGTTTTAAATTAAATTAGTCCACTCTAGGGTTGGCTTACGTGACCCTAACGGGGATGGCTGCATAGTGTGAACTTCATACAACCAAGGCAAACAACATGGCGAATACAGCTGAGGTGCTAACCGAGCTAAAAGCTCTTTGGATGGAAGCTGCATGAAATGTCAAACTCTATCACAGCACTAGAGAACGATGTGGTCTACATCAAACGAGATGCAACAGCCAATGAAAAACACACAGAGGAAGCTGAGACTTGTATAGTTGCAGAAGAAGAAAAGCTAGCCAGAACCCAGTTGACCTCAGCTTCAGCTACAAAGTGAATAGCGTGCCTAGAAGCAAAGACGGACAACCTGGAGAACCGTGGGAGAAGGAAGAATATTTGGGTGCTCCGTCTCAAAGAGGGCGCCCCCTTTTGAAATTCATGCATGATATCCTACCCAAATGGCTTGATATAGAACCCGACAAATCCTTTTAATTGGAAAGACTGTACCGTACGTTTGCACCTGCTAGGCTTAATCACAACAGAGCTGTTCTCATCCATTTTTTACATTTCCAAGACAAAGCATTTGTGCTACACTCCACGATACATCAGGTCATTAAACACAATGAAACCAAACTTTAATTCGCCCAGGACCTCTCTGCAGAAACTATCTGACACAGATGTGAGTTTGATGGCATCAGGAAGCTGTTTAACGATATGGGAACTTTTCATGGGTTTCATTACCGTTTGTGCAAGCTAACAGGAAGTTTCAGCTGTTTTCTTCGCCACAGGAGGCTGAGAAATTTACCGTAATATCAGGTTTGAATTGTCTGCCCTACACAAGAAGGGTTGAGTGTGTTTTCTGTTATATATGAATACATGCTCATCATCCCAACATTACAGGTTAATGTCAAAAAAGGACATTATGAGGCTGACAATATAATCATTTTCTTTTATGTATACGGAAGGATTCCTTATTTCAGACCGCCACATTGTCTGTTCAGTCCAAACTGTGTTGTGATCAGTTTTTTCCCCCTTGCTAACACCTGCATGTGCCTGCTGTTCTGTAGAGCCAAATGTTATCTTAGGGGGATAAGCAATCATTTTTTCTTTAATACAACTAGATATAATTTCTCAAATATACTGTAGGTTGTGGATGGGTATTTGCCACCTGCCAGAGAAGTTAAGAGTTGTACCTGTTATAACAGGATTGCATTGTCATTTGAGGACATGGCTGCTGTCTCTGGGAGAGGGGGGAAGGAAGTGGAAGGGGGGTTTCATAACATCCTCTTTTTTGGTTTGTTTTTATTGTTTTTTCTTAGTCCTCTACGGTCACACACTATCAATACAATACACAAATTTCAATATAACACACTTAATGTAATGACATTTAACTGCTGCCTTCCTGCTAGAAAGCAATCTGTCTAGTGAGGAGCACAAAAGCTCAAGAGAGATTTGGTGGGACAGGTCTATTTTTCAAACTGTACAAGCAAAAAAGGGGAACGGCTCATTTATAAAAATCTTTATATCCAAAGAACAACACAATGACTGTGAGGGTAAATTTGTACTGATTCATGCAATTCTTCATGGCAAAGTACATACATTGTTTAACATACATTGTTTGGTGCACATCAAATCAGGACTGTCCTAAATTTATGACTGATGGTTGCATTATTTAATCAGTATAATACAGATTGTGGAATAGTATCTGGGGACTTTCATTGCTGTATGAACTGTAACTTAGATAAATCTTTGCTGTTTGCAGTTTGATCAACACTGCATACTGCCCATGTACCAGTCTGTTGCTGTGACAACTCTAAATTTCAGTCTGGAATTCATCAATCTCTCCTAGTGACACAAGGAAAACACTTTACTGAGTACTGTAAACATGTCTATGCTAATTGCGAGCTGCTAAATTTAGTAGTAAATAAAACAGACATCACTAGATCAGAAACATGCAAAATAAAATGTAGCTTTTAGGTTTGTGAAGATCTCAAAAACTTAAATGTGCTCTTGGTCAGACAGCAGACCAAAAGGGAAAGGGACATAGGAGGCATCAGAACAGTTTGCAAGAGCACAGTACACTGTAAAAAGTGAAACAGGGCAGGAGTTGATTTGAAATGGTAAATGGTAAATCATGCAGAACGTACTTCAGAAACATTATCTTTCCCAAGGCAGACTGACTTTACTACCCTCTAATGGCATCCTAGCACAACTCAAGTCTTTAATAAGTTCTACTAGTGTCTGCTTTTTCAGACTATTCACTAAAAAAAAACTGCATAAAAAGCCTTATAACTCCTGAATAACAGCAGTTATTAACCACTTGATGTGGAATTAATAATGTACAAAATCAAAATGGCTCAGCATCCAACACTCTAAATGTACAATACTCACAAATCAGATTATTATTATACTGATTTTATGTTATTATTTGTAATATGTTGAGTACAAAACAGCACAGCACTGGAAGCTCTGCTGCATTCACGCCTCAACCACACTGTTACACAATAACAGGGCTAAAGCTTGGTGACTTCCGTTATGAAGGACTGCCACAATTACAAACTGCCATTTACAGTTAACAGTTAAGAAATGCAGTATTCATACAGACAGAGACAAAGTCTTCGATGATTTTACATTTTCCTGTCAGAGGTGAGTTGTTACAAACAGTTATATTTACTCAGTTACATGTACTAAGACAAGGAGTTGACAGATTAATACTTTTTATCGTATTTTCAATTGATACTTCTACATATATTCAAGTATACTTGTGAGGAAAGGAGTCTATTCTTAAGTCTCACTTACTTATTTATATTTCAAGCTCTGTGTCAAATCTAATCTGGGTAAAGCCCAAAGTATGTATTAGTGCTGTAATGTCTGGCTTCATACTTCTTTAAAATCCTTTTTTATTTTTGGTTACTTCTACTTTTTCTCATCTTCTACACTTCTACTGAATCATTATTTCATGGTGTTCATTAATTATTGGTTACTCTCCCACCTCTGTCTCCTACTAATTCGAGAGATGTCTCCGAGTGTTTATGAAGATCTGAAGAACTGCTTAGGGAAGCTGAAGAGAGAAGAAATAGAAGACTTTGTGGTGGTTGTCTATGAGTGCACCAATACTGTTAGAGGCCATGACTCCAACAAAGAGAAGGAGTACGCCAGCACAAGAAAGAACCTTCAAATTCACCAGCCAGGTATTATTAGAAAGCTCCTTTTTACACTTATCTAAAAATTGGTGTTTAAATATCCAAATAGTCAAGATAAGCAGATCACTTTAGTAGGAGAATCAGCTCCTATCCGGGGAGTCTGACATCCATTTGTTGGGGAGTCATACGAAGTTGTTATCTATCAAATGTCAATTGATACTGATGTGTCACTGTGAACGATTCATTTTTTAACTAAGGATCTTTTTTGGGTAAATGAACTACACTGAGTCACCTTCCTGAAAGATTCATTCTGCTCAGATAGTGTTTTACATGACTAGCTGTTCAGCATAAACCTCACGCTTTCATGTGCACATGCAAAAGGATTAATCGCAGCCTGAATATCTAAGTCTGGATTAACAGAGAAAGCTGTTGACCGCCATTGTAGAATGAGTTAACCTCGGGTGTGTTTGTTTGGGTTAGAGAAGCTGAAACTTGAAGAGTTGTCAATTGTAGTAGAAGCTTGTAGAACTGACAGAACACAAAGGGCAAAATGTCTATTTGACTATTCAACTACAAGACTGTGAGCAGCTTTAAAAGCTGCCATCTGCTAGAGGGGGCCGGAGACACAAGATGCCTATGTTTAAACAACAGTGGGCTTGTTTGAGCTCAACTGCACCTCACCTTGACGTCTGTAATGAAGTAAGTAAGTAAAGTTTTATTTATATAGCGCTTTTTACAACAGGTGTTGTCACAAAGCAGCTTTACAAGAAAATGAGCATTACAAAAAGAAGTCCGGGTCCGAGCCCCCATGAGCAAGCCAGTGGCGACAGTGGCAAGGAAAAACTCCCTAAGAGAAACAGGAAGAAACCTTGAGAGGAACCAGGACTCAGAAGGGGAACCCATCCTCCTCTGGTCAACACCGGATAGTAAACATTGTTAGTATAAAGTATTATAGTACAAAAACAGGGTAAAACGTGAAGGAAACAATTATTTATCTTTACATCTTTACAGTTTTGTTAATGAATATTTAGAAACTTTACATATTTTAATAGGCTACACGCTGAGTTCAGTTTAGTTTTCTCGTTTTTTTGGTCCATATTTTCTCTCTCTTCTCTCCATCCTTTTTTACTTAGACATTCATAAGAATGGAATTAGACTAGTTTTAGTGATGTAAAGATAAATAAACTTGTCACCATTCAACGGTCTTACTTTTGTAAAAAAGTAATGGATACATGTCCTTTCCAATAATCATTTAAATAAAAAATACGGTCTTTTACATCGCTGTGGAGGAATTTTGGCCCATTCTTCTTTGCAGAATTGCTACATTGGAGGGTTTGCCAGCATGAAATACCCATTTAACGTCTTGCCACAGTTTCTTAATGGGATTAAAGTCAGGACTTTGACTGGGCCACTCCAAAACCTTTTGAAAAATTCTGTTTCTTTTGGGCCACTGAAAGGTGGACTTGCTTGTGTGTCTCAGATCATTGTCTTGCTGCATAACCCAAATGCGCTGGAGCTTTAGGTCACAAACTGACAGGTGGACATTCTCTTAAGGATTTCCTGATGGAGAGCAGAATTTATGGTTCCATCAATTATAACAGGTCATCCAGTTGTTGCAGAAGCAAAGCAGCCCCATATCATCACAATACCACCATTATATTTGATTATTGGTATGATCTCATGGTGGAACACCATGTTATGCCTGATGTAATGGGACCCATGTCTTCCAAAAAGTTTCACCTTTGACTCATTAGTCCACAGAATGTTATCCCAACAGTCTTACGGGTCGTCTAGATTTTTTTTTTTTAACAAATGCGAGATGAGCCTTTGTGTTCTTTTTGGTCAAGAGTGATTTGTGCCTTGCAGCTCTCCAATGGATGCTATACTTTACTGGTTTTTTAATGGTGGAATTGTGTACACTGACCTTCACTTAGGCAAGTGAGGCCTACAGTTCTTTAGATGTTTGTCTGGGTTCTTTTGTGACCTTCTAGATAAGTCATCGATGCACTCTTGGTGAAATTTTGGTAGGCTGGTTCACTGCTGTTTCACTGCATTTCTCCATTTGTGGATAATGTCCCTCACCGTGGTTTACTGGAGTGCCAGAGCTTTAGCAATGACATTGAACCTGTCCAGAGTGGTAGATTTCAATGACCTTGTTTTGCATCTGTATTTGAATTTCTTTAGAATGTGACATCATGTGCTGCTTTTTGAGACCTTCTAGTCTGCTTCACATTGCCAGACAAGCTCTATTTAAGTGATATTTAGATTCAACAGGTCTGGCAGTAATCATGCCTGGGTGTGGCAGTGAAATTGAAACCAACAGTTAATTGAATTTGGTTAATTGGTTGGTTTAGTAGCTAAGGGGCAGTTACTTTTTCACACAGGGCCAGGTAAGACTGTAACAGCACCACTATGAAAATAACCAACTCATAGTAAGAGCTAGTCAGGCTAAAGTATGGCCTCCACAGAGCAGGGCTAGTTCTTACACAATGTTACACCTAAAGCCGGGGTTACACTACGTGACCTTTACTTCGAATTTAGCCCCGATTCTCAGTCTGGCTGAGTCTCTGCTAGTTGGCTCTATAGTCTGCAGATTTTTGGGTCAGTCACAGCAGACAGTAGGAAAGAGAATCGAGTAGTGTGCGAAGGGTGCAGACTCAGATTTTTGGCCTCCTGATTGCGTTTCACACCAGTTGGAGTTTATCAAACGTGTTTGATTTTTTTTTCGACCCGACTGAGCGTAATCTGGTAGTGCATACTGGTCAACGACTCAATCTGAACAGACCAGCCAACAGCCAATGAAAACAGAGTGCAAAAGAAGAAAATACAGCAAGTAAAGAAGAAAAATGGTGAAAAGTCGCTCACATGTGGAGCTTTTTAATTAGCTGAGTTTGAGGTACAAGCACAATCGAGTTTATGTAAATTTAAAACACTAAAAAAAAACATTATCATATTTTTAAACCTATGATCCTCACTTAAAGATGTTTACCTACTTCTTCTTTACTGTGTCAGTGCAAACGCCAGAGAAAAGAAGACAGCAGTTAAGTAACAGCTTAAAAGTTGTGTAGTGTTTGATCCCCAATATTTCAGTTGCCCAAAAAAAATCAGCAAAAACCAGTCAGATAGTGTGAGATGCCCAGTCTTTTTATGATTTGTTAAGGCTTTAAAAGTCGTGTAGTGTACTCAAGGCTTAAGCCAGAAAGCATTGAGGCAAGTCCACATCCTCTCCAAAACTTAAAAAAATTTACCCTCTATTGCATGGTGTTGCCATATGGCAACAATTACTTTCTCTCAATTTTACTAAAAGGCAGTAATATAAAATCTATTTTACTGTTTTTAATTTTACTTTGAAAGGACAAATACTTGATGACCAGAAAATCTAATTACGATGATACCATTACCATACATTCCAATTAACAATTGGAATTATGTTAATTTAACTGTGTAAAAATTAGGATATAAACTTCAACTCTAAGTTGGATTTGTCTAGACTTGTTTTCAATAAAAGGATGTTTTTAGAGAAAAATCTAATTTTATGGTAGTTTCCATGATTGTGCGTTGTTGCCATATGGCCCTTTAAAAAACATTTTTTAATATTTCCATTATTTAAGCAATTTTAAATAATAAAAACATTTTACAATTATTTTAATTAATAATTCATGCAATAGAGGTTTAAATTTGTGGAACTTTTTTCCACAAAATTAAAATTAACATTTATGTAAAATGTTATGCTGATATGTTATACTTTTTGTTCAAAATAATGAATAGACAGTCTCTATTAAGTAGTCATGTTTATTTTGCATTTTTATACATTTGGGTAGTAAAGCTGATTTGATTCAAGCACTACAGAATTCTCTTGAATTAACTGTGTTTGCAAACAGTTCAAGCAATTGTCACAATTAGCCACACAGTCTAATTGTCATCTTGCTCAAATATTTTTTAAATTAGCGAGTTTAAAAACCAATGTGGTAGGCAGTGCTCTGGTATCCCCTACTGCAACTGTACTGTGTTCATGTGTATTGCAGTAAAACATATCATCACGAACTTTACACAAGCTAAGGTTATGACAGAAGCCACAGCGTCAGGAAGTCAGAACAAACGTTAATATCAGGCACTGTCTGAAGTCAAAGAGTAAAGATTTAACACCTGTTTGCTCATTTCTCACCTATTTTAAAGCAGACTTAAGAGCACTACTGACTTTAAAGAAGTACCACATTTACTCATAAATATATCTATCTTTCTTTGATATGCATCCTCCACCATTGCATCGAATTCTGAAACTTTCAATTCATTGAGCGACTAACTCAAGTATTCTTGGTGAACGGAGCAGATCAAGAAAATTCCCAAATATTTTGACTGTAAGAAACACTAAACAAATGGGTGAATTTTTCAGAACAAATCCTTTTTGTTGAGTCACATTATTTGTACATTGAAAAAGAAAGGTAACGCTCAACAATACAACGGAAGCAGTGCTTATGGCAATATAACACTTTCTCAAGAAGACAAGGAGTCCTTAAAAGCAGTGTTCCCTAAATCTTCCCCTGGAGACGTACTGCTCTACGGTTTAATTCTGTACAGTAAAAAAGAGTAAAGTGTCTGTATTCATTCCCTACCAACAGGAGACACTGCAGGGAGCAGAAGCTACAGGCTGGCTGCAGTGTGTCTGGGGCTGCTGTGTGTTCTCCTGCTGACTGCCATCACAGTGCTGTGGATCAAGTTCAACAACCTGACTATACAGAGAGACCAGTTACAGACCAGTAACACCAACCTGACTATACAGAGAGACCAATTACAGACCAGCAACACCAACCTGACTAAAGCGAGTGAGCAGTTCCAGAAAGAAAGAGATAAACTTCAGGAGAGGCTTTGTGAACTGAGTAAGTAAATATTCATCAACTGTTACATATCACTACCAGAGTTTGACTTAATTATTTTATTTGTTTAGTTTAAAGCATGGTATTTTTATATTTACTTCCTAGAGTAAAAGATTTTAATCATGCCACCACTTGAAAACTCTCAAAAAGTAATCAGTAAGGTGTAGTTTAAACTAACGACATCTATATGCACACGACAGCCCAACTACATCGCAAGTCAATCTAAGAAACAGGGGTGTGCATTCTGACTAATTTTAAAATGTGAGTCTCCCTGAAGGACAATTAACAAATAATCAGTTGACCATGTAGAAGAAAAAACTAACAAACAAACAAACAAAAATAGTGACATTCAAGCTAATGTGGCAAGACTACAGCTAACTGATACAACACTGGATGTTACTGAGGACTCAATTTCATCTCACAGGTGGAAATGTGCCAACATGTTAGTTAGTCAGAGAAACATGCTTTCACTGTTTCTGAACCGAACGTCAGCTAGAGCAGTGTTTCTCAACCCTGGTCTTAGAGGCCCACTGCCCTGCGTATGTTAGTGTTTTACCTGCTTTAACGTGCTCACTTTAACTCAATAAAGGGTAATGAGCTGATTTGTTGGATCAGGTCTGTAAGAATCAAGGAAAACTCTAAAACATGCAGAGCAGTGGGACTTCAGGACCAGGACTGGGAAACACTAAGCTAGTGCTTCTAGTTAGCCTACTTGGCACTAAAGCCACACCAGAGCTGGCTGTGCTATCTCTGTCTTCTCTGCCATGCCCTTAATATCACATCCTTGGCAACATGCTAATGCTAAGGCACGTGTATTTCATAGTAGCAAAGTGCAATGTAACACATTAATTTACATGCAAATACTTATTTGGCCAATAACAGCCTAGACCACATGTTTTAGTCACACTAAACTAAGACTGACTAAGACTTTTGGGGTTAATGCCAATCGAACTGAGCTGTTTACATAATCACAGCTTAGTTTTAGACTAATATTGAACATTTGGAGTGCATATAAATGTTATTAATGACTAACTACTAGTAAAGCAGTAGTTTAGGGTCTATTTCACACCAGATGCTGTATATCTTTTCCTTGTGCCGCGAGCAGCATACTAGCAGTTCTAGGCAGTATTTTTGGTATCAAGTACAATCAGGACAAAAAAAACAAATCTAGTCTTAACTCTTTGACAAGGTGATAAAAATCCCTTTATGTCTCTCTGTGTGGGTGAATGAGATACCTCCTTCTTCCTCCTCCTCAGCAAAAGGTAAACCACATCTATAATCATTGCAGAAAAATATTAAAGTAATCATAGAGCTATACGTAACGTGGTGAGAAAGTTAGCAACAGAAAATTAGTATAATGTCACTTATAGAAATACTAGGAATCAGTGACCTCCACAAACAAACCATTTCAAAACATGTGAAGAGGCAGAAAGCTCAATGGGCAGTGTGAATTTCATACTGACCACAAAGGTAGAGCCAAAGGTTATTTATGTCTAAGATAGCACTGAGTAGAAATATATGGATGATATCTTAGGAATGGTTTACTGACAAATCAAATGCAGTCAATCACCAAGTTTCAACATGTTTGGTGTCTGAAGTTTACTTCAGTAGTTTTGCACTGGGACTACAAGGCTAAAGTAGCTAACAAGTATTGAGAGTCTGTGTCACCCAGTGTTTTTGATGGAAGGGGTGAATTTAAAATTTTAAAATTAGACATTTTGGGGGTTCGCGGTTGTCAAGAGATTGCGAGTCCGATCCCTGGTGATGCTATAGGCATCCGTGGCTGGGATTCCAAAAGCTCACAAATGTCCTCGCTCTTTGGGTGGATACGATGGCCATCCCCCCAGTTTGAAAAGATGCACTGGCTGGCTTCAAAGCTCTCGGAGGAAGCCTGTGCTTGCCTTCGCCCTCCTAGCACTGGTGGTATCATGTGATTGGGAGAGTCCTGACTTCTAGTGGGTGGAACTGGATACGACTTAACTGGGGAGAGAATGTGGGGGGAAAAAAAAAGAATATTAGATCTTTCAGTGAACCATTCCTTTAAAAACAGACACATACAGACTTCGTCAGCGTGTGAAGAGTGAGATCTCTGAGGCTTTAATGTTGGTAGCGTGCTGATCAAGGACCAAGAATCTGTGGGATATACTGTGGCATGTTTAGGAAAAGTTAAAGGTTCTCTAGCATTTACTGCATTTGGTTCATTTTGCTATGGACTCTTATTGTAGAGGGTGGGATTAGGAACCATCCAGAGGGTGAGTGTCTATATGTATGTGTGTGAGCTGGATGAGAGAGAGGACAGCAGAGAGACATGAGCTGAGTCAGAGAGCAAGCTGTTAGAGAAAACTTTGCTATGTATGAGGGGCTGAAAACAGCTGGAAAATAAAGCACCACAGCTTGTTCGAAAGTAGTGTTTCTTAATAGCAGTGAGCACTAAAATATATACAAACTACAGATGTAACTAACAGGTGGTAGAGCATAAAGGCAATAACAGAATACAAGAACAAAGTACTTTATTGTTTAATTTGAACTTTTTTCCAAACATTTTTGTTTAAAATGAATGTTTAAGTCATTCAGAGTGTTTTGATGTGAAATGGTTCACTGTATACAAACACAGAGAATTTGATTTCTTTACAGTGGTGGTGATAGAAACCAGGGGTCACAATATGTAAACACAAACATAGCCATTTTATTTACTATCCAGTATGACCAATAAACATACATGAGGTTTTAAAAGCATTGATAATACAATAAGGAATACACTGAGTTTTTAAATATAATTGACAATGTTAAAATGGTGTTAAATGTAAGAATTTTTTCTTTTTGTACTATTTTACCTTACACCACATGTACCTTTCTGACACACATGTATTTTAAAAAATATGTCTTAGATCAAAAGCTTATCTCAAAACTATTGTAGAATTATGTGACATCGCAGCACATTCATAACCATTTCCTGTCAGGCACAACCAACTTTCTGTGGTGGAGCTTTTAGGGGTCTTAGATGTCTGGTTCCTATCACCATCAGTATGAATAATTCTGACTTTGGAAGATTCTCTAAAATAAAGCATTTCACAGCAAACCGCTTTAACTTTATTTACCTCATAACTAAATGTTGCAGAAATTCTGAAGAATCATTTGAATTCCCCTTTAACTGAGCTGACCAATTAATGCATGACTTTCTCCATGAAAAGGGAAAAACACTGAGCAGGCACAGGGGTGTTTCAGAGGCAGTGTCTACTACATCTCTACTGAGAAGAAGAGCTGGAATGAGAGCAGAAAGGACTGCAACAGTAAAGGAGCAGACCTGGTGATCATAAACAGCAGAGAAGAACAGGTGAGAGAGAGAGAGAGAGAGACAGACAGAGAGAGTGCTTCAACTGTATGTATTCACATACTTTCATACTGTACCATGTCAGGAGTTCATCAGTTCAGTAGTTGGCAACACTGAAGCTTGGATTGGTCTGACGGACATCGACACAGAGGGGGTCTGGAAATGGGTAGACAGCTCATTACTGACCACTGAGTAAGAGACCACTAAAATTAACTCTGTTCATGATACAGTTATTCGCTCTCTAAGAAGGTCTAGAGGTGTGATAGTGAAGACAATCTGATTCTCTGTGTTTCAGGTTCTGGTGGAAGGGGGAACCCAATGATTTTGATAAAAAGGAGGACTGTGCTATAACTGGCTATAAAGGTGATGAATCTGAACGTGTATCAACCTGGGCTGATTATCCCTGTAGTCACAGTATAGTTGGACTCTGTGAGAAAAGTTTAATATAATTTTAATTTCATCTACATAACAGAGAACAGTTAAAACTGATTTAATTTACATACACACACACACACACACACACACACATATATATATACATACATACATACATACACACATAGATATAATGTGTATAAAGCTGTGCAGTAATCTGTGTAAACTGCATGTACATTTTATATGTTCCTCTCTGCATTATCAGTATTTGTAATAGGACGTGTATTTAAATTTAGAGACAATGTAAAGCATTCTTTATTCTCCAGTTGTACTTCTGAAACACACACACACACACACACACACACACACACACACACAGTCTGCAGCAGCTTAGACCTGCTTTCTACGCCATCTGTACTGTGCACATTTTTTAGCATTAAGTGAATTAAATCTTTCACATATTAAACAATATAATATTCAGTCATTTTTGAAAACTATTTCATCTCTTTTTGTGACTGGCCTCGCATTACCATTTCGCACCAGCCGAATAGTCTTCAATGAGTGGGAGTGAATGAAGATCAAAAAAAAAAAATCAGCATGTTTACAGCTAAGTCCTTTAATTTTGGAAAGTAGACAGACATAATCCATTTAAACATCCAATTAAACTTACCAATAACTTTCAAGTTTTCTACAATAAACAGGTTTTGGTCAGTAGCACACTAGCATTACTGCTACTGAGTGTTGATTGGCTGGCGAGCCAAACAGCTCAGTGGCTGAGTAAAGCAGTTCACACTCATTGACATCACAAATATATATACGGCACTGTTCAAACAGAACAACGGAGTTCAAAAGTGCTAAAAAAATTAACAGCTGTGTTAAAGTATTTTATGCTCTTCTGTTTTGAGAAAAGAAGAGCATTCATCTGTAAGAATTTACAAACTACTATTTTACAAAAGAGCTCCACAGGAACATTTTGGCCCTCTAGCGTTTGACAAACCTGAAAGACAAAGAGTGGCAATTCCCCTCACTAGAATTTCTCTGGTGTGGGTTCATAACTCCCCACAGCCCAAAGGGATAAGCGGATTAGAAAATGTGTGTTTGAGTTCATAGCTGTTTTCTCTCTTTAAATGAAGCACACAAAAGCAACCTGCATGCTAATAGTCACACCTTGCAGAGAAACTTAGTAAACAAGTACGTTCCAAAGCCATGTTCACATACTTTACATAGTTTCTATCATTATAGCAGACTCTGGAACTCAGCTACAGATGTCTGTGGGAAATCGTGAAGTATTATATTTTCATAATTTTATAACCAATCTGAACCATCGGGACACTGAAGCTGTACAGAAAAAGCTGAGAGTTTTAGACAATATGTCTAAAGTAACCCCCCAGCAGAGACACTGGACAATTTACTCTAGCATTACTCTTACAACTTATTAATGCCCCTTATTTGTCAACTGTTTGAACAGTGAACAAAGGGTAATACAACATTACGTATATGTATTATTTAGCATCTGTTTTAAATTAAATTAGTCCACTCTAGGGGTGGCTTACGTGACCCTAACGGGGATGGCTGCATAGTGTGAACTTCATACAACCAAGGCAAACAACATGGCGAATACAGCTGAGGTGCTAACCGAGCTAAAAGCTCTTTGGATGGAAGCTGCATGAAATGTCAAACTCTATCACAGCACTAGAGAACGATGTAGTCTACATCAAACGAGATGCAACAGCCAATGAAAAACACACAGAGGAAGCTGAGACTTGTATAGTTGCAGAAGAAGAAAAGCTAGCCAGAACCCAGTTGACCTCAGCTTCAGCTACAAAGTGAATAGCGTGCCTAGAAGCAAAGACGGACAACCTGGAGAACCGTGGGAGAAGGAAGAATATTTGGGTGCTCCGTCTCAAAGAGGGCGCCCCCTTTTGAAATTCATGCATGATATCCTACCCAAATGGCTTGATATAGAACCCGACAAATCCTTTTAATTGGAAAGACTGTACCGTACGTTTGCACCTGCTAGGCTTAATCACAACAGAGCTGTTCTCATCCATTTTTTACACTTCCAAGACAAAGCATTTGTGCTACACTCCACGATACATCAGGTCATTAAACACAATGAAACCAAACTTTAATTCGCCCAGGACCTCTCTGCAGAAACTATCTGACACAGATGTGAGTTTGACGGCATCAGGAAGCTGTTTAACGATATGGGAACTTTTCATGGGTTTCATTACCATTTGTGCAAGCTAACAGGAAGTTTCAGCTGTTTTCTTCGCCACAGGAGGCTAAGAAATTTACCATAATATCAGGCTTGAATTGTCTGCCCTACACAAGAAGGGTTGAGTGTGTTTTCTGTTATATATGAATACATGCTCATCATCCCAACATTACAGGTTAATGTCAAAAAAGGACATTATGAGGCTGACAATATAATCATTTTCTTTTATGTATACGGAAGGATTCCTTATTTCAGACCGCCACATTGTCTGTTCAGTCCAAACTGTGTTGTGATCAGTTTTTTCCCCCTTGCTAACACCTGCATGTGCCTGCTGTTCTGTAGAGCCAAATGTTATCTTAGGGGGATAAGCAATCATTTTTTCTTTAATACAACTAGATATAATTTCTCAAATATACTGTAGGTTGTGGATGGGTATTTGCCACCTGCCAGAGAAGTTAAGAGTTGTACCTGTTATAACAGGATTGCATTGTCATTTGAGGACATGGCTGCTGTCTCTGGGAGAGGGGGGAAGGAAGTGGAAGGGGGGTTTCATAACTCATCCTCTTTTTTGGTTTGTTTTTATTGTTTTTTCTTAGTCCTCTACGGTCACACACTATCAATACAATACACAAATTTCAATATAACACACTTAATGTAATGACATTTAACTGCTGCCTTCCTGCTAGAAAGCAATCTGTCTAGTGAGGAGCACAAAAGCTCAAGAGAGATTTGGTGGGACAGGTCTATTTTTCAAACTGTACAAGCAAAAAAGGGGAACGGCTCATTTATAAAAATCTTTATATCCAAAGAACAACACAATGACTGTGAGGGTAAATTTGTACTGATTCATGCAATTCTTCATGGCAAAGTACATACATTGTTTAACATACATTGTTTGGTGCACAACGCATGCATCAAATCAGGACTGTCCTAAATTTATGACTGATGGTTGCATTATTTAGTCAGTATAATACAGATTGTGGAATAGTATCTGGGGACTTTCATTGCCGTATGAACTGTAACTTAGATAAATCTTTGCTGTTTGCAGTTTGATCAACACTGCATACTGCCCATGTACCAGTCTGTTGCTGTGACAACTCTAAATTTCAGTCTGGAATTCATCAATCTCTCCTAGTGACACAAGGAAAACACTTTACTGAGTACTGTAAACATGTCTATGCTAATTGCGAGCTGCTAAATTTAGTAGTAAATAAACAGACATCACTAGATCAGAAACATGCAAAATAAAATGTAGCTTTTAGGTTTGTGAAGATCTCAAAAACTTAAATGTGCTCTTGGTCAGACAGCAGACCAAAAGGGAAAGGGACATAGGAGGCATCAGAACAGTTTGCAAGAGCACAGTACACTGTAAAAAGTGAAACAGGGCAGGAGTTGACTTGAAATGCTAAATGGTAAATCATGCAGAACGTACTTCAGAAACATTATCTTTCCCAAGGCAGACTGACTTTACTACCCTCTAATGGCATCCTAGCACAACTCAAGTCTTTAATAAGTTCTACTAGTGTCTGCTTTTTCAGACTATTCACTAAAAACACTGCATAAAAAGCCTTATAACTCCTGAATAACAGCAGTTATTAACCACTTGATGTGGAATTAATAATGTACAAAATCAAAATGGCTCAGCATCCAACACTCTAAATGTACAATACTCACAAATCAGATTATTATTATACTGATTTTATGTTATTATTTGTAATATGTTGAGTACAAAACAGCACAGCACTGGAAGCTCTGCTGCATTCACGCCTCAACCACACTGTTACACAATAACAGGGCTAAAGCTTGGTGACTTCCGTTATGAAGGACTGCCACAATTACAAACTGCCATTTACAGTTAACAGTTAAGAAATGCAGTATTCATACAGACAGAGACAAAGTCTTCGATGATTTTACATTTTCCTGTCAGAGGTGAGTTGTTACAAACAGTTATATTTACTCAGTTACATGTACTAAGACAAGGAGTTGACAGATTAATACTTTTTATCGTATTTTCAATTGATACTTCTACATATATTCAAGTATACTTGTGAGGAAAGGAGTCTATTCTTAAGTCTCACTTACTTATTTATATTTCAAGCTCTGTGTCAAATCTAATCTGGGTAAAGCCCAAAGTATGTATTAGTGCTGTAATGTCTGGCTTCATACTTCTTTAAAATCCTTTTTTATTTTTGGTTACTTCTACTTTTTCTCATCTTCTACACTTCTACTGAATCATTATTTCATGGTGTTCATTAATTATTGGTTACTCTCCCACCTCTGTCTCCTACTAATTCGAGAGATGTCTCCGAGTGTTTATGAAGATCTGAAGAACTGCTTAGGGAAGCTGAAGAGAGAAGAACTAGAAGACTTTGTGGTGGTTGTCTATGAGTGCACCAATACTGTTAGAGGCCATGACTCCAACAAAGAGGAGTACGCCAGCACAAGAAAGAACCTTCAAATTCACCAGCCAGGTATTATTAGAAAGCTCCTTTTTACACTTATCTAAAAATTGGTGTTTAAATATCCAAATAGTCAAGATAAGCAGATCACTTTAGTAGGAGAATCAGCTCCTATCCGGGGAGTCTGACATCCATTTGTTGGGGAGTCATACGAAGTTGTTATCTATCAAATGTCAATTGATACTGATGTGTCACTGTGAACGATTCATTTTTTAACTAAGGATCTTTTTTGGGTAAATGAACTACACTGAGTCACCTTCCTGAAAGATTCATTCTGCTCAGATAGTGTTTTACATGACTAGCTGTTCAGCATAAACCTCACGCTTTCATGTGCACATGCAAAAGGATTAATCGCAGCCTGAATATCCAAGTCTGGATTAACAGAGAAAGCTGTTGACCACCATTGTAGAATGAGTTAACCTCGGGTGTGTTTGTTTGGGTTAGAGAAGCTGAAACTTGAAGAGTTGTCAATTGTAGTAGAAGCTTGTAGAACTGACAGAACACAAAGGGCAAAATGTCTATTTGACTATTCAATTACAAGACTGTGAGCAGCTTTAAAAGCTGCCATCTGCTAGAGGGGGCCGGAGACACAAGATGCCTATGTTTAAACAACAGTGGGCTTGTTTGAGCTCAACTGCACCTCACCTTGACGTCTGTAATGAGTTTTGTTAATGAATATTTAGAAACTTTACATATTTTA